CTTCTACAATGGAGTTTTTCATGATTTCCTCCCCCCAGGTGCTAGTGCCCTCCCCAGACTACCCTGAATTAAACTACTTTGTATTTATTTGTGTTTATTCTTTATATGTTTCTGTATGTACTTGTTTCCTCATTAGAATGTAAGTCTTTAAAAAATTTATTTATTTATTTTATTTTTAATTTATGGAATAAAGCATTTCCATAACACTGTATAATAAAAAAGATGATTGTACATGAAACTGAAAATCTTTTATGTACAACTTGCTACTCCTTTTAAATATATAATAAAGTTATGTAAATTTCTCCCCCCTTAGATATAGCTACCATTAGACACAAATTATATATATGTGTGTGTGTGTGTATATATATATGTATATATTTATATAAAATCAGAATGTAAGATCTTTGAAAGAAGAGATTGTTTTATCCTTTGTCTTTGTATCCCCAGCACCTGACAATACTTGGCACATAATAAATGATAATCCTTACTCACTGACTGAATAACTGGTGCCTCCTGGAATTCACTAGTTCTGAGACAGTGGGTTGGTGTTTCAAATGTAGTCCTACAAATAAATTCTGAGCAGCCCAATGGAACCCGCTTATTCCAAAATGCTAAAGTGAATCTGGACCGAGGCTAAGAGTCTGGGTAGTGGTTCTCTGTAACAAAATCTTCAAAACTTCAAAGCTTTTACTTTACACTAGTGAGTCTTGACCATTCACTAAGAGGAAATGCTACTAACCTCTTATATTTCCAAACACATAAGAATTACAGCAGAATGACTGAATGCTAGATGGGTTTTCTGTAGCAATTACTTATTAGCTATAACATCTTAATTATTGGAACTATTCATTGTTTGGAAGGAAAAATGTAAAACCATCCCACTCTGCTATCACTATGGCAAAGGGTTGATCTTGAGTACAGAATCCTCTCTCCTCCTAGACAAATCACCCTCATCTGGCCACCTCTGCCTCAGGCTGATTTGTGTGAGAGAGACTTAAGGAGTGAGTAAATGGCAAGGCCAGGGTGGGAAGGAGAATGTTTCACTCACAACGTGCCCTAGTGGAGTCCTAAACGGGTGACCAGAGACTTCCAAGCTATACCTCTGCCATTATCTCTCCCTGAAACTGTCCTCAGTGCCTGGGGCCTCCTCTTCCTGGAGAATCCAACTATACCCACAGCCTTCTCAACCTGAAATATCCCTCTGTGAGGCCTGCCCCCCTCTCATTGACAAGTTCCTCCTGGGGCCTCTATTTTGTGGAAGTGTTCAAGATGGCCTTCATTCCCCTCCTGGCTTTGTTCCTGGCCTCTGGACTTCAAAACTATGCCTCCATGCTAAGGACCTTCTATTCCTTCCCTCATCCCCCATCAGCTTCTTTTTGTGTGTCCTCTTCCATATTAGAATGTAAGCTCTTTAAGTCTTTAAGGACTGATTTTCTTTTTGCTTATGTTTATATTGAAGGCACACAGAGTAAGTACTCCTTCCTTCCTTTCTTCTTTCCTTCCTTCCTTTCTTCTTTCCCTTGAAATTCTTCTGCCATGATCAGGGGAAAGTCTTTATTTAACATTCTAGTAGAATGTAAGCTCCTTGAGAGCAGAAACTGTTTTGTACCCTCAGAGCCCAGCACATAGTAGGCACTTAATGTTTGGTAAATTGACTTGCTTTAGTCAGTTGCAGTTGAGCAGAAATGTAATGTAGGGTTAAAACTTTGAGGTCCTCATTTTGGCAAATCACATTTTGTGAGTTTATGCACTAATGTAATTGCTCTTGTGAGAAGGAGCAAGAGGGAAACAATGTCTCCTCTGGTTTAGCTTCCTAAGTATAGAACTATAACAACAGATAATAAGATCAACCAACTTACAGTCCCAAAGTAAAATGAGAGAATCATTAAAGGAATACAATGTAACAAGGTAAAAAAGGTGAGAAGTTGCCTGTTTGAAACCTACCAAGATCATACCTTGACATGTTCCCCACTGATGACATAGTTCTTGAAACATTCCTCATTAGAACATGACAAGTGTTGGAGGAGAAAAACCCCAACCAGATTTGATTTGTCATTGCAGTCATGAAATAAAAAACCTTCATTGGTTCAGTCTGGCCTGCTCAGGATGGTCTGAGCAAAATGAATTATTTTGTGCTTAACTGCTTTTTCTTTAAGTATTTAATTTTAAAATACTTAAAAAAAAAAACCCAACAGATACCAAATAGCCTTCAGGCTTAGAATGTATTGTAAAAATTCCAAGAGAATGAATCAAAATGAGGTCATCTGAAAATGCTGTTGTCAGCATGACTATCTGAAAACTTGCAGGAAAAAGACACAAACTTAAAAAAAAATCACTTAGCCCCAGAGGATGAATTAATTGTTCCATACATAGCCTGCCCTGGACTGTTGTGGTCTGTTTGTATTTCGGTGTGGGAAAATCAGGCAAACTGGGCATTTTAGCCAGAACTTAATGATAACTTCAGTTCATAATTTATGCCCAAAATATCAGCGTCATGTAGAAAAGTATTATACTTGAAGTCAAGAAATCTCGGTTTTACTGATGCCAGATACAAAAGCTTGTATACTGAGGCAGCCATTCCCTGCCTAAGAAAAGAGAGTCAGTATGGAATAGTAGAGAGAACCCTATACTAAGAGTCATGAGATCTGGTCCTGGCTCTGTCACTAGAGTTAGCTATGTGACTTTGGAAAAGTTACTTAAACTCTCCTAGCCTCAACTTCCTCATCTGTAAAATAGGGATACTAATAAGAGGACTATCATGAGGAAAGTGCTTTGTGAACTTCAAGGTATGTATTATTTTTATACTAATGGAATTGTTACATGAAGATCAGTGTCATAGATCCATTCAAAATAAAAATAATAATAATAATAACTAACAGTTATGTAGCGCTTACTTATGTGCCAGGCACTATGCTAAATGCTTTATAAATTTTATCTCATTAGATCCTTAATAAAAACCCTGAGAGGTAGGTGTTCTTATTTATTCCCATTTTTCAGATGAAGAAGCAGAGGCAAATAGAGGTGACATGACTCAACTAATGAAACACAGTGTCTGAGGCTGGATTTGAACTCAAGTCTTCCTGAATCTAGGCCTATTGCTCTACCTACTCTGTTACCTAATTTTAGTCAGAGCTAGGATAGAACTTAGAGATCATGTTAGTTTAGTGCCTTCATTTTATAGGTGAGAAAAGTCCTAGGGAGAGGAAAGGACTTGTCCATACTGTTACACATCAAGGCAAGGCCTGAGTTGGTACCAGAATCCTCTCCCTTATTTCCTATATGAGGGGTTCTTACCTTGGGGGTCTGTGAACTTGTTTTTTTTTTTAAATTTTCATTATGAATCAAGAAAGTGCTTGCATAAGTCACAAACAGTAATTACATGGGGCATTATTACATCCTTTGCAATTGTGATTTTGCTCTGTTAGGTATTCAAGGTATAATCTTTTATCACCCTGTGATGAAATAATTCAATAACTTCAAATGTTTGTTGGGCTTACCTATATCCATTCCTCAATCTTGCCACTAGAAACAATTACATAATCAATGTGAAAGATACAATCTTAATAAAGGAAAACAAATCAGGGATCTGGCCTGGACCTGTGATTTCATTGGTATGGGGAACTCCCAGATGAAGAAACCCTTTCTACTAAGTTAGAGCATTGCTCTCCTTGCAATGTATTAGTCTTGGAGAATTTCCTAGGTCAGTGGTTTCCAAAGGGGGCTGTGGCTTGACAGCAAGGAATGTGTGATCACACAATTAAGAGGGGAAAAGAATGGTTGCTTCCCATCCTCCCTATTTAGCTAATCCTGGGACTTGTTTTTAATGTAATCATGCCAACCTTTTACCCATTACAGGTCAATGCTCCCCTATTCTATCCCCTCTTACCTCTTTGAAAGTTCTCAGTTTTTCCCATTTTGATATAACCTAACCCCTTCCCAGGACAATTGCAGCTGGGCAGGGACCATTGGGAAAATCTGCCTGCGTGCCCCCGTGGCATGCCCATCAAGAATTTTTTTTAATTGATAGGTAGTGTAAGACCAAAAACATTTGGCAACCACTGGCCAAGGGCATTGAGGGTAATACAACCAGCATGTGTAGAGATGAAACTTAAACCCAGGTATTTCTTCCCGGTTCCGAGGTTGATTCTCTTCCCGCTATTGATCCCCATCCCATCCCTAAACAAACAAATTAATAGCCAAACACAAACTAATGGTTCTAGATAGGGAGCCAGACTGTTCTATTGAGGCCTTTTGGGACAGTCGGGGAAATCATAGGGTCGTTCGGAGCTGTTGAGTGGGAAGGGATCTGAGAGGTCATCTAGGCCAACCTTTTCATTTGACAGACATAGAAACTGAGGCCCAGGAAGGTTAAGTGACATTAATACAGTACCTAGCACACACCAAGCACTTAATAAATGTTTACTGAATTGAATTGAACGTTCAGGGTCATACAGGTAGTAAGCATAAGAAGCAGCATCCGAACCTAGGTCCTCTGATTTCAGAGCTGTTTTTAAGGCTATCTGGTTTCATTAGAAGGTTGTTACTAAATGACCCAATTAATTCTCTTCCTCTCCCAAGCAAAGCCTTCTCCGTCTCCCTTGTCCTAAATGACACAACACCCTGTCCTCCTCCAGTTACCACACTCTCTCTCAAGTGCCAGACTTGTCTCTGTTCTTGTTTTCAGGGTCAAAGTCTCAATCTCAGACAAGCAAATAATGAAGCAGACGAGGCCATTACAGTATGCCGCGCCCAGGGAAATGAACTCAGGCTAGAGTCACAGTGACTGAGGGAGGACCAGAGACGACTCAAAGAACAAGCTGCAGAAAACAGGTGAGGGCGGCTCTGAGTCCCAGAGACAGGTCTGCTACTAGCCCGCAATAAACCCATGCAGAACTGAATCCAGATGCAAACCATTACCTGAAGGGGGGAGAGGGCATTGGGGTCTCCAGGGCACAGGGAGGCAGGGTGGCATCTCAGATGGACTTTTTTTGATGGCTTACCTTATTACTGTTGGGGTGATCTCTGCACAGAAGAAAACGCTGAGGCTTCCCACCGCGTGTGAGGCAAACATACCCACAATGGAAAACGTGGTGGAGAATTTCTCTCTGACTTTTTCACTCATTCCTGAAGAACAGAGGAAGTGAGAAGAGGCAGGGAGGGAAGAGAGAGAAGTGAAGATAGGGAACCAAAGTGGGGTGTGGAGGGAGCAGGAAGTGAGGGAGGGGAGAAAAGATAAGGAAAAAAGGCAGGGGTGGTAGTAGAGTAGAGAAAGATCCTTCTAAATTATGACCTTTCCCACTCTATTAAAGAAACATAGGGTAGTTTCCTACAAAACCCAATAAAAACCTCAAGAAATTATGAGATCAGATGCCTCTGAGAGGTAGGTTTCATCACCCCTTCGGATAGGTAACTAAGCTTCCTTTGTGTGTCAAAAAATGTGAATACTCACAGGGCTGTGGCAAATGACAGGAGCCTCTCCTAATAACTCTTATTAAAAACATAATTATAATAGTGGTTGAGGTGTTATGGTGATTTTATGATGGGACAGTGACTTCCCTTAAAATTTTTTGCACTCGATTTTTTTTTTCATCCAGAGAGGATGGCCTCTGAACCCCAGAAATCTCTTTTCCTTTTTGGTCACTGGCTTGGATAGTCTAACACAAGAGCATCTCAATCCTTGTGATTAAAGAAAATGAAAATTCGAGTTCTCCTAATATGATACAGAAATTCTGTTTCTCCAAATGTGACCCAGAAGGATGTATGGTTCTGGGAGAGAAATGCTGAAATATGCTGAGCATCTTGGAAGTTTAAGGCAGATGAGCTTGAGTGTTTTAACCAGAAGGCAATCTCATAACAAATGTTGGATCCAGCTAAATACACCTCCATGCTTCTGGGGTTCATGTGCTAAGGAACTCTTGGTATTGCTAGAAGGTGAGGCTCAGAATTTGCAACTTACATGAAAATGGTAAAGAACTCCCAGAGGCATCCAGTTCGAATGGGTAGGGTCAGGGATATCTAACCAGCAGCAGGGGATTCAATGCAGTTGTACTGCATCACTGATCCTAACAAGCTGGGGCAGGCACTAGCAATTTGCCTAGGCAACATAGTTGGCAAGGCCTCCAAAGCCTTCTATGGTGTTAGCACTTCCCAGGTCTCTCTGCCCATAAGACAAAAGGCACTCACACTCATTCCATAAGGCTGGGGTTGACAATCATTGCAAAGGGAAGAGGCGAAGGGACACATGCTAAGCTGGACAAATTAAGAATAATAAACAGCTATTTCTGGTGAAAGGAAGGATAGCAGGAAGGTGTAGAAGAATGCAAAGAGTATTTCCCAACCTGTGGCAACCTTCATCTGCAATACTTGGGTGGGTGGGTGGGGGGAAATCAAGTGTATAAAAGATCAATGAATTTTATGAGTCTTGAGAAAAGTGCCCAGTTGTACATAGCAGAAAGATGAGATAATGTAGGTGCATGGCACAAGGAGGTAAAGCTTACCTGAGCCTGGATGCTGGCTGTATTTTCCAATCACTGGATCCAAGAAAATAAATGTACCACAGTAAAAGATGAAGTTAAACAAGAAAAAGAGGGAAAGAAAGTAAGCATATTAGTGATGGGGTCATTGCCTATTTCCATGCAATTTATTTACAGATGCACTTCATTTCCTATCCGAGTCACTGCTGTGTTGGAAGAAGATCTCTTCAGAGTCTGTGTGACACACAGCATGAGCGTCTTGCCAGCCCACATCAGAGCCAGAGGCCAGAATCACAATGAGATGCTGAGAATGAATGCACAGCGATAACTACTTGGGAGGCACTGAGAATTAGTACTTGGACTATACAAAGATCTCTTTGTTGGGCAAGTAAGGACAGAAAAAAAGAAAAAAAATCCAATGGTTTCCAACCCATTGCTTTAGGAGTTTGGAGAGAAAAATGAGCCCTCCAGAACAATTATCCCAGAAGGTCTGAGCCTCAAACCAAGAAGTGAGCTCTACAGCACATAAAATTATTCAGAAACTGTTCCTGGCCTGTGTTCAGGAGAAGCACCAAGTACTTTGAGGACTGAAGCAGCCAGACAGCATTTTTTGTGAGCTCATTACTTATGCAATAGCATGTCATTTGACAAAGCTTCTGGGACAGTCTAAACCTCAGTCCAGAATGGAAAGTCTGTGACGCTTTCTAAGGCAATCTCCCATCCCCCCAAGGTCTCTGGCTCACTGCCTTTCTTGGTAGAACTCTTTCCCAAATCTCCCAATGAACTTAGAATACTTCCTTCATTCCCTGGCCCAGGTGATCGCCCATTTGGGAAAAGAGAAGGAGACGAGCTGCTCCATCACAGAGAATTAATTCTTTATTCCTTTTTGTTTCTGAGGCATAGTTTTAAAAAACAAACAAACAAAAAACCACTCTATCTCTTAGCCCAACAGGGAATGTCTGAGTAAGCTAAGTTAAACAAAACACTCCTGATGTTTGAAATGAGATATTTTGTAAAACTTTCCAAGGGCACCAAATATCCTCTATGCAAGAAAGCCCAGGGACAGATGTCGGACAAAGATTTCAGTCCTTTGTGTTTGTTTTTTCATGTAGGTCTTGAGGATGAAAGTAAAACTCAAACCACTGGTGGGTTTCCTTTTTCTTATCTTTAGTACGATGCTGTGGAAAGGACTCTGTATTCTGTTGAATGGAGTGTTCACCTCAGTTTTGTCATTAGATCAAGGCATGACCTTGGACAAGCTGAGCCATCTCCCTGGGCCTCAGTTTCTTCATCTGTAAAATGAGGGGAGTGGTACTAGAGGGCCTCTGGGGTCCCTCCCAGCTCTGACATTCTGTGGTTCTATACCCTACAGCTAAACAGTTAAGATTGCAAAATCCCAACAGTCCCTTTTGGTTTTCCTTGTGTCCACAGGGAAAATACAACAGCAACTGCCCCATAGTGAACTGAACTCTAGCCTCAGGGTATCTGGTTCTTTAGGTACAAAGACAGGTCAGCAGCTCCATTCATTCATCCATCCCTTTCTCTGGGTCCACCAAAGGTGCAGCCAACCAATCATGATATTTCTACACGTGAGTAAGAGAGGGGCCTTTGTCCTCTTGGACCCTGTTTTTATAATAACAAGACTAGATGCCTTCCCCACCTCTGTGTGCAATTCTTTCTAATTTTCTGAGAAATTCCACAGACCCAAAAAGCAGAATTAGGAAGCATTTGTTAGAAATCAAGTCAGACCTCTCATGTAAAGAGTCGACTGAAAAAATGGAAATGTTCTGACCTCCTTCCCCCCTGCCCACCTAATTTTGTCTGCCAGAACATACGATCTGTTCTTCCTCATAAGGTAGCAATGTGCTTACTTATTATAAGCCGGCCCCAGGAGGACTCGGAGCCTCTCCCATCTCACTTAATAACAGTGCAGACAGAAAGGCCTTAGGAAGGCTTTGGTAACTTTTTCCTCTTTGCTAATCCACGGAGTAGAAAAAAGAGCCCAATAAAATCAGTTACCATAAATGTTCTTAATTAAAGCTTTTTTTTTCTCCACTGCCCCAACCCAACAAAGCATTTTTTCTCGAGCTGCTGAATTTGGAATAACAGCCTCTGTGCTCTGAACGCTTTTCTCTTCCCAAGGCCCTGCCACAGTCCTGGGCAAAATGTATGCAAAGAGCCCTCTAAATGCGAGCTGCTATTTATTTTATGGGGCTCCTCTTCTTGGTGGCATTGCTGACTGTCTGCCACACCTGCCCCCTCCACCCCAGGTCCTTAACGGCATGGGTAGATAGGAGTTGAGCTGATTCCGCCTTTGGAAGGTGCAAAGATGGGATGGAGGGCCTCTGAGCTTGAGCCCAGCCTCCAATCCCCAGACTCCTTCCCCAGCCCCATGTCCCCCACTTACGGTTGAGGAGGCCAAGCTGCAGAAGGGAGGCCAGGGCTGTGAGGATCATGAAGAGAAGCAGCCCGCCCCTGCGGCCCAGGAACCTGACCACCAGACACATGGCCAGGCAGGAAGCCAAGGCTATGCCCGCTGTGGTGTAGTAGTCGGCGTAGAAGTTCGTGAGCAGGGGTAACTCATGGCCCATCATGCTCCTAGCAAAGCAGTGGTGTATCCCAAACCCGGTCAGCCTAGGCAAGACATACATAAAAGGAAAGCGGCAGGTCAGGGAGCCAGCAATGTGCGGTGGCAGGAGGACTGACGCAAGGGGAGGGACGCCTCTAAATCAGGACCCTGACCGCCGGGTAGGCAGACCTGCAGAAAAGCCACTCATGGCAATCGTGGGGCTACAGACAGTCACTGATCTCAGTTTCTGTTTTCTGCCTATTTTAGAAGGAGGGGAGACAAAGTAAGCAGCGCAGAAATAACACAAGAGTGAGATCTGAGACCTGAAACCTGGTTTTGGCTCTATGTCTTACTAGATTTATGACCCTGGGCAAAGGAGCTCCAATACCTGAGCCTCAGTTTCTTTATCTGTTGGATGAAATTATTTTAAAGCTTCCTTCCAGGTTTTAAAATCCTTTGATTCCACCTGCAAAGTGAGGCCTTCTGGTCGTCTTAGGAATCAAATCAAATGAAACACACAAATAACACTGGATTCTTGCTGTTCCTTGAACAAGAAATGTCGTCCCCCAGCTGTGAGCATTTTCACTGGCTGTTGCCCATGCCTGGAATACTGCTGGCTTCTCTGGCCTCCTCCAAGTATCAGCTAAAATTCCACCTTCAACAGAAAGCCTTTTCTGATCCTTGTTAATTCTAGTGACTTCCCTCTGGATTATTTCCATTTTATCCTGTATATAACTTGTTTGTATGTAGTTGTTTGAATGTTATCTTAGAGCCTTTCCTTGGTTCTCTGGTGCTCAGCACAGTGCTTGGCACATAGCAGGTAGTTAATAAATGTTTACTGACCAACTGAAATAAAGCCCCCTTCCCCAATTCACCACTGCTCTATATTTCAGTTTCCCTTAGTGCCTGAAGTAAGGGAGATGACGTGGGATATCTTTTAATGACTTTTCAGAAGGACCTGAAATAATCCCACTATCTCTTTTAAAGTGATGGGCTTCTGGGGCAGCTAGGTGGTGCAGTGGATAGAGCACTGGCCCTGGAATCAGGAGGACCTGAGTTCAAATTCGGCCTCAGACACATAATACTTCCTAGCTATGTGACCCTGGGCAAGTCACTTAACCCCAATTGCTTCACTTTAAAAAAAAAAAAAGTGATGGGCTTCTGAGGACCGAGCCTAAGCATAAAACCTCTGCTTTATTTCTTCAACTGCTATCATTCATGAACAGTCACTTGGATGTTGAGGTGAATACATTGATATGCCCTGCTAAGGAGGACATCTTGTTTTGAGAGAACTCCACAGTGCTTTACTGATCATGATCCATTAAAAGGCCCTCTTCAAGAACAGACACTATTTTATTTTTATCCTTGAATTCCTACCACTTTGCAGTATGTGCCATACAGAAAGTACTTAATAAATGCTTTTTTATTGATTGAAATTATTTGGAACTTCTCTATGAGGGAGGGGAACAATATGGTGGCATTAGAGCTGTCACTAAGAATTCAGGTACCTGAGGGAAATTGGGGTGGGGTGGTGGTAGATGGAGAACCCTTATATATCCCGGGGCCAGCACCCATTGTCCTTGCTACTGATCCTATGGTTCTCCTATCCTATCCAGGTCAGATGGTGTATAGGTAGGGTGTTCTAAATGGGTATAGTTCCAGTGGTAGGTGAAGAGGAGAGGAGTGTGATAAAGTCATGAGAAAGGAGGGAACCTAGACAGGGTAAGGTGGAGGGCATGCTGCTTACTTCCCAAGGTAGCTCCCTGTTGATTCCATGCTCTCCAGTCACGGACAGGAAGCATGCTCTCCCCTAAGCTGGTGCTAAGTCTCTCTTGGTCTGTGATAGCTTGGCAGTAGCATTAGGACACTCCAGTTTTAGAAACAAGAACCCCAGAGGAATGATGCATTTTGCCTATGGTCAGATTGGCTGGGGTCAGGATGGAGTTAACAACCAAAGCTAGGGCTGTATGTGTGTAAGAGCTAGAAGAAATATGGAATGATAACAGTATCAAAATGGTATCCTAACCATCAGGGCAGCAGAACTGTAGAATGCCCCTCCTCCCCCTACCTGCAAACAGTCAACGACGCTCACTGACTGAAACAAAGCCATCAATTTCTTGGGGAATAAACTTGACTAATTTAAATTCTAAAATGCCCCTGGAGGAGGAAAATGATGTATGGTACACACTATTTTCCCTGACTGCTTCAAACATCAAACCTAAGGCTGTTTTAGACAGTCTAGTAAAAATTGTGGTGTCATGGATAAAGAGCTGGCTTTGTGTCAGGAAGACGGGTTTAAATATTACCTTTCCTGACACATACTAGCTCTGTGACCTGAGCCTTGGGCCTAAAGTCAAGACCCAATTTCAAATCTGGCTTCAGACGCTTACTAGCTATGTGACCCTGGGCAAATCACTTATCTTCTGCCTGTTTCCTCAGCTATAAAATGAGGATAATAATAGCACCTACATTGCAGAGTTCTTGTGAGGATCAGTGAGATAATATTATAATGCATTTAGCATGACGCCTGTCATATAGTAAACACTTAATAAATGCTTGCCTTTTCTTTCTTTCTCTCTCTTTCTTTCCTTTCTCTTTCTTTCTTTCTTTCTTTCTTTCTTTCTTTCTTTCTTTCTTTCTTTTTCTTTCCTTCCTTCCTTCCTTCCTAACTATCAAGTGATTCAGTAAATCCTTTAAGACAGAAGTTCTTAATTTTTTTTGTGTGTTAGCTAGGTGGTATAGTGAGGCAGCTAGGTGATAAAGTAGATGACCCGAGTTCAAATCCAGCCTTAGACCCTTACTACCTGTGTGACCCTAGGCAAGTCACTTAAACTTCTGTTTGCCTTAGTTTCCTGAACTGTTAAATGGGTATAATAATAGCACCTACCTCCTAGGGTTGTTATGAGGATCAAATGAGATTAATATTTGTAAAGCAATTAGCACAGTGACAGGCACATAGTAGGTGCTTAGTAAATGCTTGTTTTCTCCCTTTCCTTCCTTCATGGATTCTTTTGGCATCTGGTAAAGCTTATGAATTCCTCAGAATAGTGTTTTTAAATATATAAAATACATAGTATTACATAGGAAACCAGTTATATACAGTTATATGAAAATATTTATAGAATAAGTTCATGACATCACTCTCTCCGCTAACCACTCTAGGTTCTTACATTGCAGAGCAGGTGCTGAACTTTATTGGTATAGAGTATTTTCTCACCAGGAGTTCTATGTACCATGAAATCACAATGTGCAGTCCAAAAACAGTCAAAATAACAGAGTAGTCCAATGATCCTTTTAAGAATCTGTGAAATGTCATCTATTTTTATCTTTGGGCACTCTCCTGTTTGATCTTTCCAACTTGGAGATCACCCTGTACATACCCTTTGCCTTGTATTTCAACAGCCTCTGAACATGCAGACCTGACCTAGACCTCCTGATTCTCCCAGGCTCAGACTCCATGTCTTTGGACCCTGGTGCTTTGGGTCAGTTCCCAAACTGAAGCTTCTGTTTGTTCTGAGCCCTCAGGGGGAAAAGGGACATGGGAAATCAGTCCAAAGGGTCAGTGCTGCTGAGTTTCCTGACTTGCTCAGTATATATTACCAGGTTACCGTGGACAAGAACATTGGATTCAGAGTCAGAGGTCCCTGGTCCACATATTGGCTCTGCGCCTTGCTCTCTGTGGGATCTCATCACTTCATGCTTCTGGGCTTCAGCTTGTGGTCTGTAAAATGAGGGGCTTGGACTAGATGACCTCCAAGGTCCTTTCATTGCTAAATCTAACCCATGGCTCAGTTCTGTGTGGTTATCACGACAGTGGCATTTTTAATTGATCACTTTCTTAGCCCAAGGGGAATGGTGCTGTATTTATAAGGGCTTAATAGAATTAAAATGCCTGCCTGGTGATTCGAAAGGCGAGAGAGTGATGTCACTCTCTGTAGTGGTTACAGCTGACTAGGCAACTGAAATAAAAAAGGTTTTATGTACAAAGTGTCAGCTGAGAGAACTGATCAATCACCAAAGGTTTACTGAACTCCTACTATGTGGTGGGCACTAGGGATGGAAATACAAGGTGTGAAATACTTCTTGCTTATAAAGAGCTTCAACTCTAACAACAGAAACAACGAGGATGTGTGCAGAATTAACATAAACTGAATAAATACAAGGTGGTTTGAGAGGAAGGGTACAAAGTTGCAGGGGGGAATCAGGAAAGTCTTTGTATAGATGGTGGTGCTTGAGCTGGTCTTGAAGGAAGAAAAGGACATTATGAATGGAAAGGGAAGTGAGGAGTGGAATCCAGGCATGGAGATGGGCCAGCGTAAAGGACCAGAGATGGGAGGTTGAATGTCTGATGTGTGAGACAGAGAGAAGGCCAGTATGGCCAGATCTCAGAGCAGGAAGGGAAAATAACATACAATGAAACCAGAAAAACTGATTGGGGCCAGGCTACAAAGTGCTTTAAAAGCTAAATGGAGGGGCAGCTAGGTGGATAGAGCACCAGCCCTGGATTCAGGAGGACCTGAGTTCAAATCCAGCCTCAGACACCTAACACTTACTAGCTGTGTGACCCTGGGCAAGTCACTTAATCCCATTGCCTAGCCAAAAAAATAAAAATAAAAATAAAAGCTAAATGGAGGAGTTTTTGTTTGATTCTAGAGGCAACAGGGAGACCCACGCTTTAGGGTCATGCTCAAATGTGAATCTCTGAAGTGAAACACTGCAGGACTTCCACCAGCCTCCATCAGAAGACCTAGGTTCTGGCTCCAGGTCTTTCAAAAAATTACTTGTGTGACCCTGGGTAAAACAACTACCTCTCTGGTTAGATGACATACTTTCTAAGGTCTATTCCAGCTCTGACATTAGCTAACATTAATGTAGTATTTTTTGAAGCACTGTATGTGTTCTTCCATTTAATCCTCATGATAACCCTGTGAGGTAGGTGCAGGTGAGGAAACTGAGGCTGAAAGAGGTTAAATGACTTGCCCAGAGCCACACAGCTGGTATCTAAGGAAGGAATTGAACTCAGGTATTCTTTCTTCCCTCTCTTAATTGGAGTTTCAGACCCACCAGAGGAGAACTGGCTAAAACTAACTCTTCTATCAATTCTTTTTTTTTTAATTAGATTTTTTTTATTTCATCCTAGAAAAGGAAACTCTCTTTAGAGGTTAAGTGACTTGCCTAGGGTCACACAGCCAGGGTGTTCCAGAAGCAGGACTTGAACCTCCATTTCCCTGGAGGCCAGTTTTCTATTTATTAATTTCTTCCTCTCATCAATTCTTACTTCCTACCTGTGTGTCTTGTCACTTTAACTTTCTAGGTCTCAGTTCCATATCTGTTACCAGGGGCTTAGACTAGAATGACCTTGAAGGTCCCTTCCTGATCTAAATCTATGAAACTATGGTTCTTAGCAGCATGTGGTATTACTACAGTTGTGTTTTTAATAGATGGTTTTCTTAGGCCTGGGGGCAATGGTACTATATTTATTCTATGTCAACGAATCAATATTGGAGAAGCCAGTAGTAAAATAGGCAGACACCACATGATGTTCTAATTCTTAACCCCTTCCTTGCCCCTGTGGGAACAAGTCACACAGGGATTCTTTCTCTACATTATGATTTAAACTCTACAAGGAGATGTATGCCTGGTCTTTGCAGACAAATGTCTACTCTCAGAAATAACATGAATAAATATACAGCCATGGGTTCCCAAAGAACTCTGGGTCTCTATAAAGATGAAAACACTGGGTCTCTGAGAGTGCTGTATGCAGAATCTTTGCTAGGTCTCTGAAAGCCCATCCATCCATTCATCCATCCATCCAGCTCTCAGCATCCATCCTATAGTTACAAGCTGCATTTTCTCATTATCTCCCTCGGGTGTTACAGGGAAATCAAAAAAGCTTTTCTTCAGACCTTGAGAATGGATCAAAGTCAGCAGCTTGGTTGCCTAGCATTTTCCTGTAGTCCTGCTCACAAGCAGCTGACACTCTAAAGGGGAAAAACAACTATGTACCAATGAGCTACATAAAGGATACATTGTAAATATTCAATAGAGGGAAGGCATTAGAATTAAAAGGGAATGGGGAAGGCTTCCTGTAGAAGTGGGGATTTTAGCTGGGACTTGAAGGAAGCCAGCGAAGAAAGGAGAGGAGAATGAGGAGGAAGAGCATAGGGGACAGCCAGAGAAAATGGCGGGAGCTGAGAAATGGAGTATTTTATGTAAAGATCAGCCAGGAGGCCAGTGTTACTGGATCTCAGAGCATTTGGGGGAGTGTAAGGTGTAAGAACACTGGAAAGGTAGGGAGTGGCCTGAAGGTGACTGCAAGCCACTGGAGGTCACTTAGTAGGAGGGTGACGAGGTCAGACCTGCACTTTAGGAAGATCACTTGGACAGCTGAGTGGAAGATGGATTAGAGGATCTCCCCTCCTTTCTCCCAGTACCACTCTGGCCAAATGAATTTTTCCATTTAGGAAATATTAATTAGGTCATATATGGGTCAACTATTTAAAGAGTTTAGTGCTCTAGCTATTGACTAGGTTTAGGTAAGAATCCTCAATCCTTCTTCCCCTAAAGCTTAAAATAACAACTCACATTTACATAGTGTTTTCAAATTTACAAAGCAGATCATTCCACCTCCTCCCTCCTCCCTCCTCACTCTTACCCCCACCCCCAACCTTGTGAGATAGGGAACTATTATTTTAATTTTACAGATGAGGAAACTTGCATCACATAGCAAAGAAGGGTCAGAGCCTGGATTTGAAACCAGATGTCCTGACTCAATGGCCAGTCCTCTTTCCACTAAACTGCCTAGTTTAGGGAGATCAGAGGGAAAATATTCCTGACCTCTTTGAAACCTGGGAGTTTTACTGGCCCTAGAATTGCCATAAAGCTGATGTGATTGGCTTTTCCCACCAGAGTTTTAATAATCTGTTAACTTTACATATCACTTGTGTAAAGTTTCTCATCTCTGCAATCTCAATGTTGAAAAAAAACAATTTGTTGCCCTCATCAGCCTAGCTACCAAATATAGTATTTAGCATATGAGGGACTGCTTTGGGTGGGTACAGTACTCCCACCTGAACTGAAAGTCAGAAGACCTGGGTTTCTATGGTTAGCTCTGTCATATCACTATGTGATAAGAGACAGGTCACTAATTTCTCCAGGCCTTAGTTTCTTATCTGCAAAATTAGACGATTGGTTGGATAAGATTAGTGTTTCTCAAGCTATGTTTTTTTGAAACCTGATATTTTGAGCTCTGGGCATAGTGGCTTTTTGAGAATTTTATTTCTTCCTCAAAAAATTAAATATGAGATTATCTATGTGTCATAAATATAATTATGAGCAACAACTTGGGAGGGGTATGGATAGGCTTAATTTCCCTCTATTTTTTATCCAAAATTTCCAACTCCCCTTTACCCTGGGGTCCATATCCTTAGACCTCCCAGATCTGCACTTAGGGGCTCTGTCAACATATTGTAAACCACAAAATGTTCTATGGCCAATTGGTCTGAGGAGGTTGTATTGGATCATCTGTAATGCTTATTTCAACTCTAACATTGAACTTTCACCTTAAAACCATAGAGAAACCCAATAGAATACATTTAAGGCATGAACAGAGTGTTTCCTGATAATAGCCAAGGGAAAGGTAGTGTTATTTAGCTGGGAGTAGGCAAAGGAAGAAACTTGCTTGGTCCCTGTGTCCTAAGGAGTTGTCCTCAGAGCCTAAGTTTCCTCAACTGTAAAATGGGGCTCAGAAGATAGAAGTTGGAAGGAGAATCTGAAATCAGATCAGAAGGGGCTGCTAAAGAAAACTTGAGTGGGAGGCTCTGAGGAGGAGGGAAGATAGCTGTCAGTTACTTGTTTGGAGAGATAATGAGCAACTAGAGATACTGGGAAAATCTACTCAATGTAGGTCACAAGTGGAGGAACATACATATTGAAAAGGGCTCCCTTAAAAATATTTAGTAGTATGGGGCAGCTAGGTGGCACAGTGGATAGAACTCCGGTCTTGGAGTCAGGAGGACCTGAGTTCAAATCTAGCCTCAGACACTTGACACTTACTAACTATGTGACCCTGGGCAAGTCACTTAACCCCAATGCCTAGCAAAAAACAAAAAACAAAACAAAACAAAATATTTAGTAGTATGGGTCCTGTGTTGTTTCAGACCCAACACAAGACCTTCTGGGGGTTTTAAATCCTCTGTAAGACCCTATATGAATCTCATCCATGGGATTTAGAAACTGTAAATCACCCTAGAGACAATCTAGTAACATTCCTTTATTTTAAATGAGGAGCCTGAGATCCCCAAATGGGAAGTGACTTGCCCAAATTTTATATAACTTCGATAGTGGCAGAACCGGGGTCTGAACTCAGGTTCTCCTGCCTCCCAGTCTAGTACTGCTTTACCACACTGCCTTGCTTTGGGACTTCTATCCACATTCCCAGGCATTATACAGGCATTATCCCAGTGACCCCAAAAATCTTACCTTTAATCCTATTTATTAAGAAATTCACTACAAGGTGGGCCTATCCTGGGGTTCCCATTCCAAAGCTATATTAGAAACAGAGAAGAATTCTCTAAGATAGGCTCACTCACAAGGTTTCCTCTATTTGAACTACAGGGAGGTCCCAGTGGACTCCCAAGATGTTTGCCTTCAGATAGAAGAGATTAGAGAGAGACAAAGAGTCTTTTCTTTCAAAGGCCACAATTCCATATTTGAGTCAGAGGGGTAAGACTGCCTGCCCCCTTCTTATCAAGAATACAGAGGAGAAATGTGTGCCTCTCCTTCAATTGCCCCTCCCCTGATGCTCCCAGCCTTTCCATTCCCTTTCTGCCCTGGCTTTCTCCATACTTACGAGTTCACGCACAGGACCACAATGTTTTTCCATAGGTTCCTTGTCCCCACCACTTTCACAATGCAGACTTTCTTGGGCCTTCTGGAAAGTTCCTTCTCCAGTTCTGCAATGAAACAAGACCATGAGACCCCCCTGACAGGCAGCAGAGAATCTGCTGGCTCCCTTCTGAGCTGGCCAGGTCCATTTCAGGATTTTGTCATTTTGGGAAGGGGAGAACATTTTTTTCCCTCTAGAAGCTGGGATAAGACAGGAGAAGAAGAAAATGGAACATAAGTCTGGTAGAGTGGATTTGATGTTACTGTAGAATTCCTCCAATAGTGCCTGAAGCAAAAATATGGAAACATTATCAATCTGAGTTTTTTTTCTTAAACTCTTGGTGAAGATAATAGATTTTATAATGATACCCCAGCCTACCAGTACAATACTTAGGCACCTAATAAACTAAATCAAGCAGTTCTCTTGCTCTTTTGGGAAAGGAAAAAGTCTTTCTCAGAGATTCAGAAATCTGCCCCTCCTAACCGAATGGCCACGTATACCACATGTAGTTATCTGTCTTAGGGCCTTGCTTTTATACTGGAATATCACATTTACTGGGCTTAAAAAAAAAGAAAAAAGATATCCATTCTCCTAATGCCTGGTGTACATGTCTTCATAATTTACTTTCTAAGTCCACAGCCTTGAAAAACTAGGTGCATTTTTATTGAAAGAATAGAGGTATGGTCAAACGGCCCTTCACATCTTGTTTATTTTCATAGAGTACTATGGCCCAAAGCCAGGAATTGAAAGGTGTCCTGTTCCTAAAACACTATGGCAGGACGATTACTGCCCTCTCAGTGACACATGTTCTGCCTTTCATTCTCTAGAGAATCTGAGTTACCTTTGTGTCAAACCACAACTCCCTCTGGAGTCTCTTTGGACAAGACATGTTCCCAAAGCTGTCTCTTTGCCCTTCCAGAAAAGAAAAATCCTCCAGTACCTTGTTTCAAGAAAAGACTTCTTACTACATTCCCATTTAATTTACCAGCCTATTCACTCCTAGATTAGCATATATCCAGCATGTCTCAACAATAGAAGACTTTGGCTTCTTCCTATACAACTAGGAGGTGGGTAGCATCCAAAAGAGGCAACTAGAAGAGCTAGGAATGAAAACTCTTGATGAGTTGTGACCACTGAAGAAAAATTACATCAGAACCTTTTGGAATACTGTTGCTGTTCAAAATAGGATCATAGGATTTTAGAGTTGAAAGGTACTTCAGAGACCACCTAGACCAATCCTCTCAGTTTACTGATGAGCAATCTGAGACCCTGAGAGGGGAATTAATTAGCTATAGTCACACAGGCAGTACATAAATGGCAGAAGCTGATTTCCAGTCTGTCGTCTCTGATGCCAGGACATTGGCTATCTGTATACTTATTCCGCCTGCTATTACTCAAAGGATTTTGGAAACTTCTCTTGGGACCCTTCAGAGTACACAGAACACACACACAGACACACACACACACACACACACACACACACACACATGCACACACATTAATGTGCCCAGTAACTTTTCTAGTTTTTTTTCCCCCATGCAGCTCTCTTCACTTATTCTAAGATCCATTCAAATCAGACTAATCTCCCTTTCCTCTCCTATATCTATGCCTTGGTGTGCACCACCCCCCTGCTTGAAATCAACTCCCCACATCCTCAGATCCCTATCTATTGATGTATCGACATCCATCTTTACTTTCAAGACCCAACTCAAGTATTGCTTCTTCCAAGAAACCTTCCCTGATCATTCTCCTCCCTCACTCCCATCCTAAATAGAAATTATCCCTTCCTCCCAGAATCTATCAGGCAATTTTGTTTGACCTTTCCTATGTCCTTAATAATTTTCTAACTTGTTTTAAAATTTTTTGCATTTGTATCTTATATTTCTGCTAAACTGAGGTTCTTAGGTATGGTAATTATGCTTAAAAAAAATCTTTCCAGAATGTAGCACAGGGCCTTGTACATAATGAGCACCATGTGAACATTTACTAAATCGAATGGTGGCAGATTTTCACACTTAGAGGATGGATCTGATCCACAGAAACAGGAGAAAGTTATTTAAGCCAAGGCAATGGAACAAGGTAGGTAATCAGGTTGAGCAGTACAACTCTGGGCCCCCTATTCCTTTCTTACCTCTGCCTCTGAGGCTCCCTGGCTTCCTACAAGTCTCAGCCTATGTCACCATCTACAGGAAGCCCTTCCTAATCCAGCACTGTCTTCACCCGGTAGAATGCAAGCTTCTTAAGGGAAGAGATTGCTTCTCATTTTGTCCTACCAGGTACTTAGTAAATAATTGTTGGATAGGATAATTTGACCAATATTCTTGTGAATTGGATTTTGATGACAATTCCATATGAGTATGATTTTTCCTTCCTTCCTTCCTTCCTTTCCTACATAAATAAGATAAAGAAGTTCTTTTCTCATAGCCTAGGTGTTGATTTGCCAATTATAGAGTAAGAAACAAAACTTCTCAGCCATCTCTGCTATCAACTTAACACGTCCAGAAATGGAAAGGCAAAGTTGTTCAACTTCCCTTCCCCTCACAGCCCATCTTGTGACATCTTGTACTGCTGAGCCATGACTCCTTGAAATCTTCCAGGTCAAGCATAAAAAAGAAACTAGGGTAGGGGAAAGTCAAAGAAAAGAGTGGTAGTGGTGGGGAAAATCTACAATACAGAGGAACCCTTAGCATTTAAATGGAAACTCTGATTATTCATCAGGAAACAGAATTGTCTCAGGAGAGAAGCAGCAGCTAGATGGCACATTGGATAGAGCACTGGGCTATTTCAGGAAGACTCATCTTGAGCTCGAATCTGGCCTCAGACACTTACTAGCTAGCTATGTGACCCTGGGCAAGTCACTTAACCCTGTTGCCTCAGTTTCCTCATCTGTAAAATGCGCTGGAGAAGGAAATGGCAAACTACTCCAATATCTTTGCCAAGAAAACCCCAAATGGGGTTACAAAGAGTCAGGCACAACTGAACAACAGAAAACAGCCTTCAGTTTCTCCCGATTACCCCAGCTATTTCTGTATTCCCATGTCCAGTACTTCTGACAGTAGCAAATACTTCTGTCAGAGAAGATACCATACCCCCTCCCCTTCCACTGTGTGTCGTAAAGTCACAGTAATGGCTTATTTGCCTCCTGGTCATCATCCAATGGCTCGAGAGTGTCAGCCAATCCCATCAGTTGAAGTCTAGAAGAGGAAAACCCCACCCCCCCAAATATATGTGCACTGATAACCACGAGAATTTGGGTATTTTCTTTTCTTTTTTGTTTCTTTTCTTTCTTTTTCATGAAGAATGATTTGACGGTATTCACAGCAAAAAAGGATGAATTTTTTCTTACATGTCCTAATGCAGGAGAAAGGTAGAGGCAGACCTCTAAACTTGCTGTCTGAGTTTCTAGAACTTCCCCATGTCCCACATTAATGTAGAAAGAACTTTATGACCTTTTTCCATGAATTCTTTCCAGTCCTGAGAGAGATGCTTTACTTCTCAGCCCTTGTTTTTCCCCCACAGCAAAATAAGGCTAATTTAATGGCTCAGATTGAATAGTTTAGATGAACCTTGTTAAATAAAATATGATTTCCCTCATAGGCAGCTAGTGTTTTGGTAGTAGAAAACATTAAAATATCAGATCATGCTGCATCTGAAACCATATATATGTGCATAATGCCATAACAAACTACCACATATTATGGTATCATAGAATCATGTCAGAGATGGAAAGGGATTTAGCGATCTTCCAACACTGTCACTTTACAGGTGAGGACACTGAGGCGTGAGAAAGAGAATGAACTTGTTCCAGGTCATCCAGTCCCACAGCTAGCAAGGGGAAGAGCTGGGCCCTATACCCAGGTCTCCAAGCTCCTAAATCCAGAGCTGCTTCCACTCACTATCTCACAACATCTCTCAACTTCAATAACAACATTTCCTAATCCTGGAATCCTAGAGTTTCTTCTTCCATGAGAAGCACCAACATGACTACGGTAGATTTCCCTTCCTTGAGTAGAAGTTAATTCCTGATCTATTCATAGGACCAGAGATTTAGAGATGGACGAGACCTCAGAGGTCAATTCAGGGGTTGGGAACCTGCAGCCTTGAGGACACATGTGGCCCTCTAGATCCTCAAGTACGGCCCTTTGACTGAATCCAAACTTCACAGAACAAATCCCCTTAATGAAAGGATTTGTTCTGTAAAACTTGGATTTGATCAAAAGGCTGCACCCAAGGACCTAGAAGGCCACATGTGGCCTCAAGGTCGCAGGTTCCCCAGCCCTGATTCTAGTCCAATCCCTTCATTTTACAGATGAATGAACTAGGCTCTCGAGAGGTGAAAGGATTTGTTCAAGATTATGTATCTAATAAAGTAGTACAGCTGGAATTCAAACCAAGACTCTTGGGATCCAAATCCAAAGGTCTTTCTACTATGCTACAATGCTTTTCCCAACTAATTTTAGAATGTAATGTTAAGGTGGAAAGACAAATATTTGTGTGTGTGTGTGTGTGTGTGTATTAGTATATGTATTTAACCTTCATTAAATTCATTCTCTAATCCCTGGTTTCTTGAAGACTTATGCCAGCTTGAGAAGTTTTGAGTCTGGGGCAAGGGGCAGACTATAACTCTTAGCTACGGACCAGTTTGGCCAGTATAGAGAGAGAGATTGGCTGCTGAGTAGTGAATTTCTCAGGCCATAACTGCTATGGTCAACTCTGGAAGACCATCTACTAAGTTGTAGAGTGGTCACAATTTTTATTGGTGAAGGAAAAACACAAAAACAATCAAGCAACCCTGAAGGGCTGAAATGTGTATGTGTGTATGTGTGTGTATATGAAGGAGAGAGAGAGAAACAGTGTGTGTGGCACCACATTTGCCCTTCTTTTTTCATTTTGTTAAAGTAACAGTGGTATTTTGATTCTCAAATGAAAGTGGTCTTTCCTACCTCAAATTTCTTCTAGTACTCTGCTACAGCTCTTCCCTGCACTTACCCCAATCTCCCTACTACCACAGTCTGAGCTTTACTGAGAGTAAGATCTGTATTATATTTTTGTATGCACACATATCTTTGTGTCTTAAGTCTCTAGCATTGTGCCTCGCACATAGTAGGTACTAAAAGAATGCTTGGTACATTAATGTCATGAAAAAAATTTTTTTTTTGGATTAGCAATAGCACCCAGAAATGCTAAACTTAGGGCTGCGTGTAGTCAATAAAAGGAACCAGAAAAGCCCAAACATAATTTTCAAGTTATTATTCTTTCTGGGGCCCCTGGTGTCATGGTAGGGCCCTTCAGCACCCACATCACCATTTTCTAAGATTATAATTTGTACATTTCCTTGGAGTGACTCTTTTCCTGAGGGGGATGGGACACAGGAGGCAGGGAAATCCAGGAGTCTTGTATTCTTCATGTCATTGAAACAACTCAGGGTCTAGAGAGCTAGGTTTTTCACTAGACAATGTTAGAAAATAAGGGCTTTTCTAGGATACACAGTGTTAAAGTGTTAAAGATAACAGTTTCTACAAACTTCAGTGAAAAACCTGAAACTACCTCCCCACTTCATGCTTTCCCCTTTGCTTTACCACACACAACAGAAAATAATTTGATTTAGAGTCATCAGGAAAAAAACAAAATTGAACTCCCTTTCTAATATGCTGAGCCTATTTTGTATAGGGAGGACAGGATGTCTATTTTTCTAGTAGTCTCTTGCCCTGCTACGCATGCTGTTTCTCTACTCTAGGGTAGATAAGTTATTTCTGTTCCCTTCCCTCCTCCCAGCATCACTGTGCAATTTTGAATCTTTATTGCCTGGAAGGAACCAAGGCAATAGAAGGATATAGTCCTTGCCCTGGTCTGACTACTCTAGCTTGCCTATCTGTTTGACTTGCTTCAGGGATGCCCCAGAGCACACTATTGACTCAAGAAGGACATTGTGGCTCTTAAGAAAGGGCTTACCTGAGAATACTCCAGAGGGAAGCATGGGATCTGTCCAGGGCCTGAAGGACTAGGTGGTGAGACCGCCAGCCAGTTGTCCCCTGATGTGGCCAGAGGGCAGAAAGCAGCTGCAGTCCACTCAAGATAAGGCCTGGGAGGAACCATCATAGTTCTTTTGAAAGTATGCCACAAGAGTCATATCCTTTTCCCAAAAGTCTTTAAGGCATTTCAGGCTCATAGACTAATGGATTTTTAGACTCTGTAGGAAATAATCAGTTTTTATGTCCTTCCTTGAGGCACTGAATATTAAAAAAAACACCCACATTTATAAGTAAACTCAAAGAGCTATTGGCTTCCTCCAACCCCTCACCCCCTCAGCTCTAGATTTAGACATAGAAGTAATTAAATGGTAGAACAGGCCTTCTTTGGAAGCAAGAAGTAGTTAGCAACCATATGGACCTCAGTCTTAAAAATCTACCCAATCATTCGGTATTTGGGCCAATACTGTTCTTCTTTCCCATTTTCTCTCAATATGCCCATCTAGAATGCCTATAAATATCCACCAAACCACAGAATGAATGGCTATCTAGTCACACAGCTAGGCTGTGTCAGGACACTTGATTACAGTCTACACATTTATGACTGGAACAAGCAAAGCCTGTGACAGGAATTCCAGTAGAAAGCTTCACATTGGCATTATTGAAGAGTCAGGTGAGACCTGTACACATGTTGTGGCATATGATGATTGAGTCACAATGCTAACCCAAAGGACTGTGTTGAAATGTTCAAAAACAAATCAGACAGGTTCTAAGAGGAAATCCAAAGACACTTAGAGCAACCTGAGAAAAACAGAAGAGTGGAAACATTGAGTCCCTGATTTTCCTTTTTGGCATTACTACGGACTACAAGTAAAAAAGCCTACCAAGGCTGGGGCCCATACATGTGTGTTTGTATGTGTGTATACATAAGATATAAGACACTGGTTGACATAATTGGTTACACAATTATTTGGGTTCTCACTGTTGGTTTCCACATGACAAACATTTCTTGACTGTATTTGGTCTGAGCTATTGGGAGATAGTTTAGCAGGAGAAAAGAAACCTAGGCAAAGAAATAAAGCTAGAATGAGCAGCTGTTTAGAAGGTGAAACAGATGTGCTCTTTCCCCACAAAGCAAGGCAATAAAATGTTAAAATGGCATGATTGACAATGCTGACTGACAGCTGGTGGGCAAAGAGAGATCGAGAAGCCAATGTGGATCGGGAGGTTTTGCAGAGCCAATACTGAAATGCCACCCTGTTCCCCCTTCAAAGGAGATAGGCATCTTTTGTTCCCTTTTCATAAGTCACACATACAAAGATACTTTTTCTCTCAAGTCTCTCCTTGCTACACCTGAATATAAATAAATGTGAGCAACAATCATAAGGGAAAAAAGTCATGATACCACTTTCTTATAATAAAGAAGAAAAATATAATGGCACAATTAAGCTCAAAGGGGGAAAAGTTTTTTTTTATCTGAATAGTAAGTGGGGTGTGATAATTTAATTAAGCAAATACCCCAAAGGGAATTTTGCTTCAAGTCTTAAAAGTCAGTCTAATGATGTCCAAAAGGAAAGTGATATTTTTATTTTTAGAGCTACTGGAATTGGTTCTGATAACAGATTAAGTGCTTGATTTTTAGCAAGAACTCTTCAGAAATGAAGAGAAGGCAAGTGTACCTCAATGGAAAACAAAACATTGTTTTCAGTTCTTCATTGTCCAAATGAGCAGGTTGCTACCAGAAGGTAATAGAGACAGAGATGCTCACATATATCCAAAATCCCAAGAGCGCTGCTGTACATACCCATGTGGATACATATACTCGCCCCATATCACTCCTACTTAACTTCTGAATAACCATGAGAAAAGTCAACTACTTTAGCTTTTTTTAGTTGTTTTTTTTTTCATAAAATTGGAGACATTTTATCTTATCTAAACTTTATATTTTGTCAGCATCTCTCACACAGTGGTCCCCAATAGAGTTGGTCCATTAGTAAGTGCATGTTGAATGAACAGAATCCCAGAGGTGGAAGGGATCATTGTGATCACCCAGCCCAGACTCTGTAGGAAGCAATCCATCAACCAACAAGTAATTATTAAGTCCCTACTAAGTGCCAGGCACTGTAGAGACAAAGAAAGCGACCAAACAGTCCTTACTCTCAAGGAGACTAATGCTTCTATTAAGAAGCATTTGTGAAGTCAGTGCTATCCTTTCTCCATTTTCTCAGATCTCTTACTGTACACAGAACACAAGAGATACCGCTTGACTCCTTAAGAGTTACATGAATTTTTTTAATTACTCTTTACTCAGATATCCCAACATGTGGCACACAACTCCATTCCAGAAAGGTTAGAGCATTTGAAGTGGGTTCCCCCAAATGATTACTCATTGACTGAGTTGCCTGCTATCATGAAGTCTCACCTAGGAGTGATTCAGAAATCCAGAGCTGGAAGGGACCTCAAAGGTTCCTGAGTTCAATCTCCTCATAGTACAGAAGTGGAACTAAAGCTCAGAATGGTTAAACAACTTACATATGGTTACATATATAGTTAATAGTAAAGTCAGGATTTAAACCCAGTCTTCTGATTCCAAATTCAGTGCTCCTTCTTCTGTGCTATTCTGCCTCTGAAGAGGAAGACAAGGTTTTTTTTTTTTGCCACTTAAAATACAGTTTTTATGTCTTTAGGACTCATGGGCAATATCTGGATTTACTCTATTGGATTCAGTAAATCATAGACTATTATATGCCAGGTTTCAAAAGGGACTCTAGCTCTGGAGTCAGAGGAACAGTGTTCAAATTTTGCTTGTGTGACCATGGCAAGTTGTGTGCCTGGGCCTCAGTTTCCTCATCTGTAAAATGAGAGGCGGTTGGATTAGACAACCTCTGAGTTTCCTGTGATCTATGACCCTAAACTGTACATTACAACACGTTTCCAACTGGTTACACAGCTGGTAAAACATCAAGGTAAAATTGGAGGCTTTTAAGGCCAGGACAGACCCAGGGTCAGGCATTGGTTTAGGTCAGTAGTTGTCAGACTTTTTGGTCTCAGGATCCCCTTATACACACAAAGATACTTTTTCTCTCGTCTCTTCTTGCTACATCTGAATATAAATAAATGTGAGCAACAATCCCCCCGCCCTACTCTCCCCACCCCGAAGAAGCTTTTATTTATGTAGATTATATCTATTGATATTAACCAAATTTGAAATTAAAACATATAAATATTATTATGAAAATAATTTTGACTTCACAGACACCCCCCCCTCCCAGCCCAGGGTTCCTGGTCCACACTTAAAGAACCTCTGGGTTGGATATAAGGAATACTTCTACCTGAGGACAGAGATTCCAGAAAGAAAGAGAAGGCAATGAAAAAGAAAACTGTTTTCAGTTTTTTTGTTACAAATGGTTACAATAAAAAAGACTGTGGGTAATCTTAGGAGGCTACATTTAAGAGGAAAAGAGATGGCTGAAGACTCTGGACCCTGAAGATTAAATACCAAAGTATGCTTATGGTCAGAGGTGACTTAGAGAGTAGTGACAAGACTGGTGAGCAGGCTGTAGGCCAAGGATTTTACATCCATGTTCTATAGAATGCCCTACCTGAAGGCCAGGTTTATACTAGGCTAGTAATTAATTTTCTGAACCTTTGTTTGCTGTTTTTACAGCCAAAGTGAATTTCTTTCATTAGCACATCCAATCAATATCCAATGCCCACTTTCAAGTTGCTTAGGTGGACATTGTTATTATTTCTGTTCAACAGATCCAGGCCAAATAAAGTGGGACTATTTGGCTGGCAATGGAAGCTACTTAATAAAACACACCAATGAAAGGAAATCTAGGAACTGTTGGGATATTGAGTTCTGGTATGTTAGGCTCCATAGATAGATGCTCACACTTCTCCAAGGCTCCAGGGCATGGCTGCCTCCCTGCGTATGCACATACTCACCGGGCATCACTCCTTTGATGTCATTCTCGGGATTCATGCGGTTTTTCTGTGTGAAATGCAGGATCAACTTCTTTGCTGGCTCAAACTGCTGTGTGGCCATTAGCCACCGGAGGGACTCTGGGAAAATACTTCAAAGATACAAAGCCTATTAGTGAAATTTTTCAAGTTCCTGCGGTGCTCAAGATACAAAGGACATGATTAAGATTTCAGACTGTGAGCTTCCTGGGCATGGAGAGGGTCTTATTCTGTGTTTGGTATCGCACCTGGGGTGTGGTTGTGCCTTCTGATAAATTGCATGTGATGTGATTATTTTTTTTTCCTCAACAGATAAGAAGATGGTGGGCATTGAAGTATGTATTATTTCCCTTTGGGAAAAAATAAGAATTAAGGTGGTTGTGAGAATTATGAAGGATGTGGCAAATAAACATCAGTATTTTACCAACTGTGGATGTATCCCATCTCAGAGGCAATCTAGTTTAACCCCTACCCAAAACCTCATTCCTTTCTACAATTCCCCTGGTAAGTGACCATTGAGCCTCTGATGGAACAAAGAAATCACTATCTCCTAAGGTAGCGCATTCCATTTCGGGATGGCTCTATTTGTTGAGAATTTTTCCCTCCATGACTTTACTACCCATTAATCCTAATTCTGAGATGTCAGGCCAAGCACAACAAATACAATTCCTCTTCCTTGTGACAACCCTTCAAATACCTGAAAACAGCTGTTGGGTCCCCCTCAGTCTTCTCCTTTTTACTATAGATACCAGATACTTCAATTGATGCTCCATTGGCATAGCTTCCAATCCCTTTACTGATCTCCCCTCCCCCCAGCTTGCAAAAATATTTCCTAATGTTGGGGACCTAGAACTGAACACAACACTCCAGGTGTGATCTCAACAGGGCTGAGTATTGCAGGATTATCACTTCCATTCCTCCTGTAACCATGCTTCAGTTAAGGCAGGCTACAATTAGACTAACTTTTTTGGTTCCTCTATTACATTATTGACTCATATGGAGCTTGTAATCCAGTACCATCCTTCTTTGTAGCTTGTATCACTGAAGTCGATTTTTTCAGTCCAAGTGTGGGACCTTATATTTATCTCTTTTACATTTCACATCCAGTTTACATATATACATATAAGTTTTTATGAACACACACACACACACACACACACACACACACACACAATTTATGGTAAAAGAGAATGAGCCTTGGACTGGGAATCTTTCAGTCTGGATTCTAGTCTTTGCTTTGTATGATCTTGGGCACGCCTTCCTCTTTGACATAATTTGGACAGAGAGAAAGTTTAGACTAGAAGATTTCTGAATTCCATTGCAACTCTAATAGTTTATGATCCTAGGACTCATGGAATCTTAGAATTTCAGACTTGGAAAGCTCTCACAGACCTACCTAGTCTTGCCCTGTTCCCCATCCATAAAAGTAGGAAGAAAAGAAACAAACATTTACTAAGTGCTTACTATGTGCTAGGCAGTATACTAAGTGTACACTATCTTATTTGATCCTCACAACAACCCTGAGAGGTAGACATTATTATTATCTCCATTTACAGTTGAAGAAACTGAGGTAGACAGAGGTTAAATGGCTTGCCCAGAGTCACACAGCTAGGAAGTGTCTGAGTCTGGATTTGAACCTAGGCCTTCCTGACTCCAGGTCCAGTGCTTTATCCACTGAGGAACCTAGATTCATGAATCCCCTCTATAAAATCCCCTTTCATTAATGGCAGGGAATTCATTACCTTGTAAGAGACCTCACTCCATTTCTGAACAGCAACTTTTAAGAGGTTTGCTCCTAATACTAAAGTGAAATCTGCTTCCCTGTAGCTTTTATTCAGTGGTCTTATGTAGCCAAACAAAATTTAGTCTAATGCCTCTTCCCTGTAATAGGCCTTCAAATACCTAAACACAGTTACTCTGCCCTGGTAAATCCTCTCTGGTCTAAATATTCCCATTTCCTTCCAAAGATGTGTACATGGCATGGTTTCACAATCTGTCATTGTTCAGGTATCTCCTTTGGTGATACTCGGGATGTCTGATCAGTGAGAAGATTGCTTTTCCTATTTTTAGGCACCTAAGAGCCCACTTGACTATATGTCTTTGGATGTTATCACTGTTCTCTAGAACTTCCTACTAGATCACTTCAGCTCTGAAAATTAGACTTTGTTAGTGCCCCCTAGTCCAGAGGCCTCTTCTTCCTTCAGAATGGAGAGGATGGAGGATAGAATCCTTCCATATCCTCCGTTTAAAGAAGCACCCATTGGAGCCATCTCATCATTTCCCACCTGGTTCCACTCCTCTGTCCTCCCCATGCTTGGTACCACTGCCTCCCTTTCAGCTTCTTCTTTTTTTATATTAATTTATTTTGACTTATCAACAATCACTTCCATAAGCTTTTGAGTTTTAAATTTTTCTCCCCCTCCCTCTCCATCTCTCTCCCCAAGATGGTGCACAATCTGATATAGGCTATACATATACATTTCTATTAAACATATTTTCACATTAGTTATGTTGTAAGGAAGAATTAGAACCAATAGAAGGAACCACAAGAAAGAGGAAACAAAACAAAACAGAAGAAAAAAAAGAGTAAATAGTATGCTTCGATCTGCATTCAAACTCCATAGTTCTTTCTTTGGATGTGGATAGCATTTTCCATCATGAGACTTTTGGAGATGTCTTAGATTTTTGCATTGCTGAAAAGGGCTAAGTCTATCAAAGTTAGTCATCACACAGCATGGCTGTTACCGTGTATAACATTCTCCTGGTTCTGCTCACTTCACTCTGCATCAGTCCATGTAAGTCTTTCCAGGTTTTTCTGAAGTCTGCCTGCTCATCATTTCTTATAGCACAATAGGATTCCATTACATTCATATATCACACCTTGTTCAGCCATTCCCCAATTGATGGGCATCCCCTCAATTTCCAATTCTTTGCCATCACAGAAAGAGGTTCTATAAATATTTTTGTCCTTTTCCCATTTGTATGATCTCTTTGGGATACAATCCTAGAAGTGCTATTGCGGGGTCAAAGGGTATGCACATTTTTATAGCCCTTTGGGCATAGTTTCAAATTGCTCTCCAAAATGGTTGGATCATTTCACAACTCCACCAACAATGCATTAGAATTTCAATTTTCCCACATCTTCTCCAACATTTATCATTTTACTGTTTTATCATGTGAGCCAATCTGATAGGTGCGATGTGTTACCTCAGAGTTGTTTTGATTTGCATTTCTTTAATCAATAGTGAATTAGAGCATTTTTTCCTATGACTATAGATGGCTTTAATTTCTTCATCTGAGAACTGCCCATTCATATCCTTTGACCATTTGTCAAGTGGGGAATGACTTGTATTCTTATGAATTTGACTTAGTTCTCTATATATTTTAGAAATGAGGCCCTTATCAGAGACACTGGTTGGTTTCTACTTCCCTCCTAACCTTGGTTGCATTGGCTTTGTTTGCGCACAAACTTTTGAATTTAATGCAATCAGAATAATCCATTTTGCATTTCATAATGTTTTCTACCTCCTGTTTGGTCTCGGCTTCTTTTTATGTGTTGTCTTTCTCTATCAGATTGTGAGCTCCTTGAAGGTAGGGACTGTCTTTTGCCTTTCTTTGTATCCCTAAAGCTTAGCATGGTGCCTAGCACATGATAGGCACTTATGATTTATTGATTGACTAAGATATAGCCTAAGATCAGATTAGGTTTTGGGGGGCAGCCAACTTGCATTCTACTAGAACCCCTTCATTTTCCCCCCCAAAAGGAATTAATATCAAGTAACAGTTCCCTAGGGGCAGCTAGGTGGCACAGTGGATAAAGCGCTAGCCCTGGAGTCAAGAGGATCTGAGTTCAAATCTGGCCTCAGATACTTATTAGTTGTGTGACCCTGGGCAACTCACTTAACCCTGTTTGCCTCAGTTTCCTCATTTGCAAAATGAGCTGGAGAAGGAAATGGCAAACCACTCCAGTACCTTTGCCAAGAAAATCCCAAATGGGGTCACAAAGAGTTGGACATGATGGAAAAAACTAAATAATGACAACAAAATGTCATAATGTTGGCTCTGGATAAACTTGCAGTCTACCAAAACCCCTTGATATCTTTTTCATAGGAATTAACATCAAGTAATAGCTCCCTCACTCTATACTTGTGTAACTGATTTCTAAACCTAAATAAAAATCTTTACCTCTATCCCTATTAAAATTCATCTTATATGGTATCACCCATTCCTTCAGCTGGTTGAGATTCTTTTGGATCCTAATTCTGTCATACAGCATGTGAAATATCCTTGACAGCTAGTTTCATGCCATCTGAAAATTTGATAAGGATGCAGTCTGTGTCTCCATCCAAGCCATGATAAAAATATAGACCAGAGTGAGGCTGAGGACAGACCTCTGTCACTCACCATGGAACCCTTTCTTCCAGGTCAACATACAATAATCAACACTTTGGATCCAGCTCATCAACCAGCTCTGTCTCAGCATAATTGCACTACCTTACAGGCCCCATTTCTCTATCTTGTTTGTGTGGTTATCATAACAGACTCTGTCAAATACTTGCTGAAACCCAGATATATCACACCTATAGCATTTTCCTGAGGTGTGGGTTGAAAAGTATCGTATATAGAGAGCTGAAGAGGAGGACATTGAGTCCAACTCTCTCATTTTATAGATAAGAACATTGCACATAAAGAAATTGAATGACTTGCCTAGGGTCACAAAGCTAGCATGAATATGACATGAGATTGGACCCAAGTCTTCCTAGCTTCAAGTTCAGTGTACTGACCTCTATACTGTGCTTTCAGCAGTGAGGGAGGGAGAAGGGGAAGGAAATTTGAGTTAAATGATCTCTCACACTCAATGATTCTATAACTCACTGAATCACAGAATCTCAACATTGGGAAGAACAACCAAGTCTTACCTTATGCCCAAAGAATGAATTCTTTTCAAGATATTCCCAACAAACAGGGGCCTGGTAATTCTAACAGATTTCTAAAGTATGGTTGCATGGCATATAAAGGGGGCTCAGAGGGTTTATCCACAGAATGATTCCTTCAAGAAGTGTGGTGTGGTAGGAAGAATGCTGAATTTAGTGTCAGGAAACACAGGGGCCTA